ATTGCTTTAATTTCCTACTAAGAAAAAATTAAATTAATCATATACAGGCCATTCAGTCAAGAATGACTTACCCCTCTGTTAAAAATGTACTTTTGTGATAGTTCTGTTACAAAAAGTGATTTCTCTACTCAATTCTCCCTTTATCCCTTTCCAACATATAAATTTCTCACCATCTTTCTAATTTAGCAGAATGTTATTTAATACAGTATTGTATTTGTTGTCCTTTTAATTACAAAGCTTGAAAGTTTTAGCGAGTTTACTGGTAACGTATGACTTCCCTTTGATTCCAGGGCCTGATTTTTCTCATTTACAAGTAGAGCATTAAATCTGTGATTCTTCTGTCCTGCAGCTTTCTGTAACGTCAATCTCCCCATCACCACCACACAGTCTCAGGGCTGGTCATTCTGGCAGCGCCAGAGCTACCCCAAGTCCAGTATCTGGCACTTGGCAAAGATTCTAAGCTTGACCAGGAGGAAGTTTCAGCTCTTGGCATGAGCTCACCCACTGAGTCTGCGAAGTCTTGCCTCTCCTTGGTCCCATTTATTTATTTACTTCCCAAAGTCCCTTCAGTCTCAAGGTCAAGGAAAAAACCAACCTGGGCGGGGGAGAGGCTGGAAAGGAGGACACTGAGAAATCTCTGCTCAAACCTCTTTCCTTTGTCTTTCCCAAATCTTTGGTCAAGCCTGCAGGAAGCATGGCCAAAGTAGCCCCCCCCCCTTTTTTTAAAGTGTAGGCATAGGGGATGGCCTTCACAAATGCTCAGACTGGCAAGCTGCTGAATGCAGCTTTCCTGGAAAGTAGAGAGTGTGAGGGAGAATGAGGTGAATAAGGCTAGAATATTGAGTCAGAGCCAGATTGGGATCCAAGGTAAATAGCTGATGGACCCTGGGCCCATTACGTCACCTCTTGTTGCCTCAGTTTCTTCATCGAGTTGGATTTGATGGCGTCTGAGGGCCTGTTTCGGTCTTAAATCTTTGATCCTGTGATTCCAAGTTGCTTCCTTGGGCCTCAGTTTCCTCATCTGCAAAATTGGTAGTTGGAGTTGGTGGCTTCTAAGGTCCCTTCTAGTTCTAAATCCTAAAGACACTGTATTTTATCCTAGAGGTAATAGGGAGCCACTGATAGTTTTGGAGCTAGGGAGTAATGTGGTTAACTTACATCTTAAGATTATTACTTATGTAGGACTTATGTAACCTTGTTATATTTATTTAGGGAAATCAATCAGATTTTGTGAGTTGGTTAAAAATTTGGGGCCTGGAATGATGAGAAGAGGTTATTAGCAAATCACCAATTGACAAGCCTAGAGATGTAGGGACATCATGATTTTTCTACCAGATAATGGGCAATTATCTTCCTCCAGAGAGCTGATGACATTTTGAATCAGTTATCAGATGATACGATTGAGATGTGATTTCAGTATCTCTTGAGATGTGAAATGCTTACATGTGATAATTTTCTGTTCCAAAGAGGAAGATTTTTTAGTATTACTAGAAAAGGATTTCATAAACATATTTTAGATTGCTGAGATCTTATTTTGAACCTTTATACTTAAATTTGTTCTTCCTATGTTTTATTATTATATTACCTCATTTTCTAATATGTCCTCCACCACGTCCCATCGAAAGCCATTCCTTGTAATAAAGAGTAAAAAGAAAAAGAAAAAAAGCATTGAGCAGAGCTCTAACCAGTGCCTCAGACAAGGCCAGCTATATATGCCATGTCTCATACTCATCTTTTGGCCACTTCTCTAAATAATAATAATAATGATAATAATGATGATCATGATAATAAATGATAGCTAGCAGTTATATAGTGCTTTAAAGTTTGCAGAATTCTTTACAAATATGATCTCATTTGGTCCTCACAACAACCTTGGGAAGGAAACGCTCTTTTTATCCCAGTTTCACAGATTCGGAAACTGAGGCAAGCAGATTAAGTGACTTGCTCAGGTTCATGTAGCTAGTGGCTAGAGCTGGATTTGAACTCAGGTCTTCCAGGTTTGTGCAGTCTCCTGTCTTCTTGTGTGTGTGTGGGGTCATTAACTTGTGTACTTTCTGAAAAGACTAGGTTGATCTGAATCATTTTTAAGGAAGTAAATTGAATTTACATGACGTATTTTATGATTAGATTAAAAGACTTCAGATTTTAGCTTTAAAAGAGGGTAATAGTAGGGTAAAGCATTTGTTTTTAACATTTAATATCAAGTCAAGTAATTGATCTCTTAGGCATAGTGTCTCTCCCACGTTGTTACTTAAAATCTCTTCCTCATTTCAGTACCATTGGCTTGTGAGTGATGATGTATATTGCAGCTGTCACTTGCTGTATTAATGCAAATGGTTTCTGAGCCCGATTATTCACAGTTGAGGCGTTAATATTATGACTAAGAGTCCCCTTCCCAATAGTAACCATTATTCTGTTTTTCTAGGGTTCTCAGATTACAAGGCAGGCTGTGTAAATAAATCAAAAAGCTTGTTTGTTAGCTTAGAATATGTTTTCCCAGAGAAACAACATAGTGCTTGGCAGTCAGGCTCATGGACTAGCTTATAAGAGACATTTAGAGCAAATGTAACCAAAGCACTGGACTGTGCATGTAAAGTATTCTCAATGTAGAGTTGTCAAAGGGAAAGGAAGGGAAGAAGTACTATTAAGCACCTGCTATGTGTCAGGCACTGTACTGAGTGCTTTAGCTAATCATTCAGTCTATAAGCATCTATTAGGCACCTTCTGTGTGCTAGCCTATGTGCTAAGCACTGGGGAAACACAGAAAGGCAAAAGAGTTTGTGTTGTCCAATCGTTTTAGTCATGTCTGACTCAGTGACCCCATTTGGGGTTTTCTTGGCAGAGATACTAGAGTGATTTGCCATTTCCTTCTGCAGCCCATTTTACAGATGAGGAGACTGAAGCAAGCAGAGTTAAGTGGCTTGCCCAGGGTCATATAGCTAATAGGTGTTAGGGCTGAATTTGAACTCAGAACTCAATTCCAGGCCAAGCTCTCTATTCCCTATACCCCCTTGTGACTGCAATGGAGAGAATAGTTCTGGCATCTGGAGGACCTGGGTTCAAATCTCACCTCTGATGCTTATTACTTGAACGATCCTGAGCAAGCCATTTCCCCTCTGTCGGCTTCAGTTTCCTCTTTTAGAAAACAATGCGTTTGGACTAGGTGAACTCCGAGGTCCCCACGCTCCAGAGTCGTCTGGGACCATAGGGCCTATCTGCCATGTGCAGTCGGTTTCCTATGTATAAATGCATTTAGTATCCCAGTTTGAAGTGCTAGACACAATGCCTACACCCACCTTGGTTGCAATCCCAGTAATAATAATGGGGACTCCTCTTCCTCCCAGTGTCCTGCTTTCTGGGAAATGGATCCGGTTCCAAGCCATGAGGGGTGACCTACGACAGGGTCAAGGGTAGGAGTGATTCTTCCATTGGGTTGAAGAGAGAAGACCTGAATCTCTCGGGTAAAAACGGAAAATGCAGGAGGGAGGAGTTGGGGCGGGTGTGTGTGTGTGTGTGTGTGTGTGTGTGTGTGTGTGTGTGTGAGTGTGTGATGATGGAAAGCAATGTGAGATTGGAGGGGGGGGTCATAGGATCATAAATATAGAGCTGGAGGGGACCTGAGAGGATACTGAGTCCAAATCCCTCATTTTACAGGTGGGGAAGGTGAGGCAGGAAGAGGTTGAGTGATTTGTTGAAAGTCACTTAGCCAATAAGTGCCAAGGACAGATGCTGAGTTTAAGTGGCACAGTGGATAGAGCGCTGAGCCTGGAGTCAGGAAGACATATCTTCCTGACTTCAAATCTGGCCACAGGTACTTTTAAACTGTGTGACCCTGGATAAGTCACTTACCCCTGTTTGCTTCAGCTTCCTCGTCTGTAAAATGAGCTGAAGAAGGCAATGGCAAACTACTCCAGTATCTCTGCCAAGGAAACCCCAAATAGGGTCACAAGAAAGTCAGACATGATATTGAGGTCCTGGTTCAAATGCTGGTTTTGCCATTTTCTTTGTGACTTTGGGCAGATCATTTCCCCTCTGTGTGCCTCAGTTTCCTCATCTGTAAAGTGAAGAAGAGGCTGGACTAAATACCCTCTGAGGTTCCTTCCAGCTCTCAACCTACATCCTTCTGCTGCTAGTGCTCCATCAAGGACAGATGCTTGGGAACCCGGAATGTGGAAGCAGTTTTTTGTTGAAAAAGTCATCCCATGACTGGTGGCTTCATTGAACGTTTCAGATTGATGCATGTGGTAGGAACGTGCAATGTTTGGAACTTGGATCAGGGATCCAATTATGTTTCTGTTTGAATTCCTGGCCTTCCAACCCTTGGAACGTATTTATCAAATAGCAGGCAAAGTCAAAAACAGCTCATTCACAGACCTTGGGCAGCTCATGTTGTAATCACTCTGTGTCCTCTTTTACAGGTAAGAAAACAGGCTCAGAGAGGTCGTGGCTGGCCTAAAGGTCCAGACCTGTTGTTGGCTAGTAAGATAGGGCAGGGAGTTCTACCGGGTCAGAGAAGGAGGCTTATATGATCCTTGGGGCAGTCATCCGTGGTCAAAGGACATGAACACATCTGTCAACAGACAGGATTGGAAGGACCTCTCGCAACTCGAGAGCTGTGGTTCCTTTGGAACGAGAGTCCAAAGAGCCCGAGATGGGCCAGCCAGGGCTGCCGGTTCTTGGCTCTTAAGATTTGCCAGGGAACATTTCCAGAATATGCTATAAACATAGTTGTGATAGAATAATGGGAGAGAGAACTCTGGGACGGAGCTGTGCTCCCGGCTCTGTGGCATCCTCATGAGACTGCTTTCTGTATAGTCCGTCTCCTGTGCTGACAAGGGTGAATAAAGTCATGGGCTGCTGCTGGTTTGTTTTGCAGGTACCACAGTTTGGTACTTAGATTTTACTTTACTCTTTTTATTAAAGAAACCAGACACAGTGTTTGGGTACATTGATTCCTCTAATGTGTTTTCCTCTTATCCCATTCAATGCTTTTTCTAAAGGGATTATACAGGGCCGATGAACGATTTGGACCAGGAATAGAGTCGTATGCAGAAGGCTGTCAGGACGTTGGATGGTGGTTCCGGGAACACATAATTAAATTGTGCACCAAAGTCCCTGGTGCTTTCACCATTTTGGATTATCCAGAGTACAAACCCTTTCTTTCTTCTGATTCTGTGAAAGTGTGTCTTTCTGAAGAGGAGCTGGCAAAGTGGAACCTGAATGAGGAGGAGGACCCCTTTTTTTACGATTACAAGCGGCTGCTTTTAAATGACAATTTAACGCTACCACCAGAAATATACATTTATTCCACCGATAACAAGCATCATCCCATGACTGCATCGAGCAAAAAAGACTTTGATTTCTATTTTTTGGCACCTAAGTTTCAAATCTTTGATGATGAGGACAAACTTTGTTTTGTTATAAACCAGACTCCTTTGCTGCTTAAAATACAAAAGCACGCTTGCAGATTCAGGTAACTAGCTCTACCTTTCCTCCTTCCTTGCCCAGTTATTTTGTAAAGGGTTAGTTTTGAAGGTCCACTGGGGCCCCTTCTACACGATTCTGTCTCTAACAGTTCTGAAGGGAGGCGGTGGGGGAGCGGTGGAAAGAGCACCTTGGTTCAGGCCGTGCCGCTTATTACCCGGGTGATTAGGCAGGTCACTTAATCTCCCTGGGTCTCAGTTGCCTAATTTGCAAAATGAGGGGATTGGGTAGATGGCTTCTGAGTTTCCTTCTTGCTTTAGGTCCATAGTCCTTTCATCCATATGGGTTTTGGCAGTCTGTCAGTCACTTAACTGTCATTTTATTTTCTTTAAAAATATTTGCTTTTCTTTTTATAGCACTTTGATTTTCAAATATTTTCTTCCCCTTCCCTACCCAATGAGCATCCCTTATGACAAAGAACACATCTCATATCTCTCTAGATATCGAGATATACATGCCCGTGTCTCTGAGATATAGATAAAAATATGAAATCAAGTCAGTACACTAGGGAAAAGCCTGAATGATAATAACAAAATTAAAAGGACAAGGGTATACCAAGAAAGCTTGATGTGTATCGTTCTCAGAAAAGTTCTTTCTTGTCCAACCAGGACAAGTTGTTGTTCAATTGTTTTTCAGTCCTGTCTGACTCTTCGTGACCCCATTTGAGGTGAAACTGAGGCAAAGAGGGTGAAGTGACTTGCCCAGGGTTATACAGCCAGTTTGTGTCTGAGGCTGGATTTGAACTCAGGTCTTCCTGACTCCAGGTCTGGTGCTCTATCTGCGGTGCCTTCTGGCTGCCCTTGTTTGGCATTGCTGAACACTTTCAGATACCAGTAACTGTGGGTGAAAGATGGACGAGTGGGGGTAGGGGGAGACAGAAGAAGGTGTCGGTGGGAGCAGGGAGAGGTGGGAGAAAAAAGCAGAAGCAGTGTGTAAAAATGTAGACTGCATCTCGTGTATAACGTGCCCAAGCATTGTATGGAGTATTGCAATGGGGGGGCCGGAATCTGCTGTACAGGATCTTTTTTTTAAATTAGAAAATATGTAAATAGTAAGATGAAGAACAGAAGATGGGGAAAAAGGATGGATTTGGCGATCAGGGACGCGGTTTCCAATCCCAGCTCTACTGTTTTCTGCCTGTGTGACTGTGGACAAGTCACTTAACCTCTCTGAGAGTCAGTTTTCTCATCTGTGATCTGAGGAATTTACCGGGTGACCTCGTGGGCCTATTCCATCTCTAAATCTGTGACCTCGAGAAGTCTCTTGCGGCCTTCCCCCTCCCAGCACTAAATACTAGGAGGACAGAGAGGCAGAGTCTGCAAGAGCTGCTTCTGAGGCCCTTCCCTTCCACATCCTGGCTGTGCGACTCTGAGGGGGCGAATGTCCTGAGAGGTCTCAGGACCCCGGCCTCTCTCTGAGCCTCTAGGCTGCAAAGTGCAGAATCGGGGTTGATCTGCCTTGGTGGGGGGCATCTCCTCAGTGGACTCGCAGGTCTGCTAAGGAAAAAACGATGAAGAGGCCGGAGGGGCCTGAATTAAAGACTAATTATTTTTTTCTCCCTTAAATCAGGCACAGTCAGCCTCTGTTCAGGCAGAGTGTTCATGATATCATGAATGGAAACCGTGGTAACTTTGGCTACCAGGGTCCCAAAGAAGGGTTTGCCAAGGAGCTGATCATGGCGGCCGAGAAGGGAGAATACGAGCACGTCTATGAGATTCTCCGTGATGATCTGGCCCTGGCTGATGTAGGGGACTGTGGGGGATTCACCGCGCTGGCTGGAGCAACTGTAAGATAAGCGGGAAATTTCCTCGATGTAAAAAGCAGAGCGTGTTAAATGAAGAGTCCATGGTGACGGCTGGAGTCAGTCTGGGGATCTGGGTGCAAGGCAATAGTTACTTTGTAGGGCGTTGTGGCATGGGGGATAGAGAGCCAGCCTAGCAGCCAGGAAGCCCCCTATTGGCCAGTGTGACTGTGGAGTGCCCCAGGTAGCTCAGGGACTGGCATGGAGCTGGTGCCCATCTTCATTGGTGGGTGGTATTGCCTTACTGAGGGTTCCTTGGACAAATGGAATCATAAATCTAGCCCTCATGACCAAAAAACCCAACCCCCAAACCACCCACCCACCAAACAAACAAAAAAAAACAGTGCCCCACAAAACTCTCTAAGATTAATTTGCCAACCAGGTGCCCTCTACGTTGGTAGATGGAGTTCCCTCACTGGGAGTTCCTTGGACTAGGGGGGTCAAACTGAACAGAAATGAGGGCCACTAAGGCCAAATATTGACCTAGTTTTAAGATGTAATATTAGCTATGTTTCATTTTACTTCTGTTTATTTTGTCAACTGTTTACTAATGACAGTTATCCCTTCCACATCTTGGGTGTTAGGGACATGGTGCCTCTTTGTCTAGAAAATCCACATAGAATGTTTGGCCCTCCCTTTGTACTAGAGAAGAAGTCTGAATTATTGTAAATATTAAAAGATAAAATATGTTGCTGTTACACAATACTATGTATGTTTTGTGCCTTTCTGAGTTTCTAAACTTTGTCTCGCCTGCTGGCTTTTGCATGTTATCTGTAGTTTCTTCAGAACTCCCCCGAAATTCCTGCTGAATTTTTTATGTGGACCTGTGCTGTATCAAAACTGCAGTGGGGAAAGTCACGATGTGGAAGAGAGAACTGTGTATATGTTAAGTTCAGGCTGCATTGTTTGACAGTTCTGCTTTAGACAAGTGAAATCATATGGCTGGTCAAAAAAAAGATCCCCAAACAAACCGAAAACCAACCTCCAAACCATAAACCAAATGCACCCACCAAACAGGGGCTGCCTTCCAGGCATGGGGGTGGGAGGCAGGAGAGACAGCTGGGGAAAAGGCCTGGGAATGGCATGCCAGGCATGAGGGATGGCAGGAAGGCAGAGCGCAGGAAGGGGAGGAATGTCTAATAAGGCTTGAAAGGTGAGTTGGAGCCAAGTGCAAAAGGCTTTTTGTATTTGGGCCTAGAGCAAGAATTCTCAGCCTTTTTTGTGCCCTGGACACTTGGTGAAGCTTCAGCACTCCTTCTCAGAATCGGTTTTTAAATACATAAAATAAAATAGCCAAGATTACAAAGGAAGCTGATTGTATAGAGATATAGTTACCAGAACGTGTGTTTTCTAAACTGACACCTGTACTAACTACAGGTAATAGGGAGCTATTAGAGCTTACTGAGTAGCCGAGGGACATGGTCAGAGCTGTGCTTTAGGGAGCTCATTTTGGCAGCTGGCGGACAGTAGAGTGGAGAAGGGAGGGATACTAATTAGGTTGTTGTTTACTTGTGACTCTTCCTGGCCCAATTTAAGGTTTTCTTGGCAGAGATACTGGAGTGGTTGGCCATTTCTTTCTTTAGCTCATTTTACAGATGAGGAAACTGAGGCAAGCAGGGTAGAGTGACTTGCCCCAGGGTCACACAGCTAGTTAGTGTCTGAGGCTGAATTTGAACTCAGATCCTTCTGACTCCAGGATCAGCACTCTATCCCTTCTGCCATCTAGCTGTCCACACTGATTAGGAGGCTATTGCTGTAGTCTAACGATAAGGAAGGATAATCAAATTAGATTTTTTTTGTCACGCTATAAAATAGAGTGGAAGATATGTAAAGCCACAAACTTGGTGCCTTGGCAACATTGGCCTTGGACCTCAGAAAACCTGAGTTCAAATATTGCCTCAGACGTTTACTAGCTGTGTGATCCTGGCAATGGCAATCTCTGCCTCAGTTTCCTTATCTGTAAGTGAGGACAATAATAGCAGCTGCCTTGTAGGGCTGTTTTTAGACTCAAATGAAATAGCCTGTAATAGCTATCCTAATCATAAGGAATAAAGATAACAATATTAAGATAGATAATGTAATAGAGATTACTTTAAGGTTTGCAGAATGCCTGACAAATATCTTATTGCTTATTATAAAGAAATTCCTAATTAAACTAGTTAATATAAAGGAATAATATGATAATAAATAATACATAACAATATTTACATAGTGTTTTAAGGTATACAAAGTATTTATAAATATCTCATTGATCGTTATAAATAAATTATTCATTAGTTCATATGAATAAATTATGGAGGCAGCTGGTGGCTCAGTGGGTAGAGTGCTGGGCCTGACGTCAGGGAGACCTGAGTTTAAATCTGGCTTCAGACTCTTACTAGCCACGTGCCCCTAGACAAGTCACTTAACCTCTGTTTGCCTTAGTCCACTGGAGAAGGAAATGGCACACCAGTCCAGCGTCTTTGCCGAGAAAACCCCGTGGACAGCGTTGGCGTGCTGTGGTCCACAGGGTCGTGAAGAGTCAGACGTTACTGAATGACTAGCCAGAAAATGAATAAATTACATAACAATATTGATATAGCATTTTAAGGTTTGCAAAGTGCTTTACAAATATCTCATTGCCTATTTTAAATAATTAAATTAGTTTATACAAATTATGTTATAACCACTGCATAATGATAATAGCATTCGTATAGAACTTGAAAGGTTTACAGAATATTTTATAAACATCTCATCGATTATGATAAATAAATAATTGGCTTACAGAAATCTTATTATAATTATAACCATTACACATTTATGTAGCACTTTAAGGTTTGCAGAATGCTTTATAAATATCATTTAATTTTATAAATAAATTACTAATTTTGTTCAGTCATTTCAGTTGTGTCCAACTCTGTGACCCCATTTGGGGTTTTCTCATCGAAAGCACTGGAGTAGTTTGCTGTTTCCTTTTCCAGATTATTTTACAGATGAGGGAGCTGAGACCAATAGGGCTAAGTGACTTGCCCAGGGTCACACAGCTAGTAAATGTCTTTGGCCAGATTTGAACTCAGGAAGGTGAATCTTCCTAACAGCAGGCCTAGTACACTATCCACCATGTCACCTAATTGCCCCTAAGTTATTAATTAAATTAATTCAAACAAATTGCTATAATAATAAATATTATATAATAGTATTAGTTAGCCTTCAAATTGTGCTTCAGGGTGCAAAATGCTTTACCAAAATGATCTCCTGGTGATCTTTTAGTCCTAGAAGGGACTCTGGAAATCACCTAATTATCAGGTACAGTAACCAAGGCCTGGAGGTGCAGCTATCTGCTTAGGCTCACACAGTGAAGGAGATGGTCTCAGAGGCCCAGTTCTCCTGACTTGAGTCTGAAGCTCTTTCTGTTAGAGCAGTAACCTCTGTGTAATCCTGGCGGGTTATTAGCGGCATGCTCATAGTTTTAATTTCTAACCATGAATTGCATTCATTCTAAACCAGATACTAATACTGGGTCAAGACAACTCTGAGTCACTGGACCTTTTCTTATCTTTTACATCCTAGGACTGGCAGTGGAATTTTCAGTTTCTTATAGTGAGGATAATTTGTTATGTTACCCCCAGCATGAAAATGGTCTTTGAGAATTGCCTCTGGAGAAAAATGGCGCCAGGTCTGACCTTTTCCAGTGAGCTGGATGGAGATGGAGATCCCAGATTCATCAGGGGATGTGATGCCCACAGAGGGCCAGCCCTGGGTTCATGGCTAGAGGCTGTGGGCTGGGGAAGTCCTGCCAGAAATTCCACATTTACCTATTCCCAAGCAAGTGAACCAGCAGTAGCATGGGGTGCTTCTGCCCAGTGATGGTGAAATATGATTTAAACTTTGATGATCTTTCCCCCTTAGAGGATACAAGATGTAGTTGTGCTCATATGGTTTTATCTTAGGACAACTTTATCCACTGGCAGGACCCATATTCCTAAATAGAAACTCAGCACTGAAATTTTTGGGCTGTAATAGAAAGTGTCGCATGTCTTTGGGGCAGGCAGCTAGGTGGTGCAGTAGAGAGAACACCAGGCCTATAGTTAGGAAGACTCATCATCATGAGTTCAAATGTGGCCTCAGACACTTAAGAGAGCTGTGTGGGCCTGGGCTAGTCACTTCACCCTGTTTGCCTCAGTTTCCTCATCTGTCAAATGAGCTGGAGAAGGAAATGGCAAACCAGTCTAGGATCTCTGCCAAGAAAACTCTTAGGGGGTCACGAAGAGTCAGACAGCCTTGAAAAACAACTGAGCAGAAACAACTGTGATCACTTGTCCTGGTTGGACAAGGAAGAACTTTTCTGAGAACGATACACATCAAGCTGTCTTTGGCATAGCCCTGTCCTTTTAATTTTGTTGTTATTATCATTCTTGCCTTTCCCTAGTGTGCTGACTTGATTTCATGTTTTTATCTGTGTCTCATATATCTGTGTATCTCTGTGTAGAGATCTAGGCAGGTATATCTAGAGTGCCTAATATATGGTCAGGAGCTATTCTGCTTTGAACTAACTCTGATCATGGGCAAGTCATCTCACCACCCTGGGCCTCACCTTCCTTCTCTGTCCTTTCCAAGCTTTTATAAAAGCACCCACCCCAAAGCTTAGAGACCACTAGGCTTCCCCAAAACACTTGAGGAGGGGATGAGGATATAGCAGGGCTCAGTAAATGAGCATGGGAGCTTCTCTGGGATCTTCGTGGTGTAGGCGGCCCACCTTGGAGCTGAGCACACAGTGCACAGTCAGTGGATGGACTGACCTAGAGGAATGAAGACCATGGTCCCCACCCATTTTCCATTCAGTTCAATTTGACAAGTATTTATTAAGTGTCTACTATATATTCTGATACTGTTGTCCTTCTGCGTAGATTGTGAATCCTTTGCCCTGGATTAGGGTTCCACGTGCATGTTCATTTCTCTTGTAATAAATCTAGTTTCCACATAAGTTTCGTGAGATTGTGATTGCCTGTTGATAATACTGGGCCAGGTGCAAGGGATACAAATGAAAATTGGTGATCATCTGTGTCCTCAAGGAGCTTACATTCTATTTGGGTAGGGAGTGACAGGCATACAGATAAATAAAAGCAATATACAAAATAAATACAAATCAGTGTGGGGGGGTCAGAAATCACTGACGATTGGAAGATCAAGAAAGGCCTCATGCAAGAAGTGGCTTCTGACTTGGACCTCCATGGAGCTTGGGATCCTGGGGGGCAGAGGCAAAGAGGAAGAGCGCTCCTGGCATGGGCCACAGCCTGGGCAAAGGCACAGCGTCAGGAAATGGAGTGTCATGTGTGAGGAACAACACTTTTTTGGGTCTTCTTGTCTCTCCTACAGCATCTCATTTGGGGCTGGACACACCTGGTTTCTCTATTAAAAAAATATATATATATATAAAATATAAAAACAGTATGGACTGTTTTTAACAATAGAGGATGTGGCTAGCCCCTCTGACGTTCCTAGGCTACGTCATGCCCCTGCCCAGAAATCTTCACTGGCTCCCCGTTGCCTCCAGAGTAAAATCTGAGCCCCATCCCCTCGTGTGCACGGCCCTCCACTGCATGGTGCCGCTCCCCTCGTCCCCTCCTTCTCCAATCTTACTTCCTGTTCTTGGTCTTCACACGGGCTCTGTTCCAGTCAAACCCTCCAGCTACTCTGGGTGCCCGCAAGGCTCCCCCTTCTCACCTCCACACTTCCCCAGCTTCCTTTGAGCCTCACCTCACATTCCACCATCTGCAGGCAGCCCTTCCTGGTGCCTCCAGCTGCTAATACCTGCCCCTCTCAAGTCGCCTTCCCTGTACCCTGCATGTGTCTGTAAGTGGCCTCCCTCCTCAGGTGTAAGCTCCTTGTGGCCAGGGCTGGTTTTGCCTTTTTTTGGGTCCCCAGAACTTAGTACAGAGCCTGGCACACAGTAGATGCTTAATAAATGTTTATCAGTTGACATAAAAAGCGCTTAATAAGGCTTGTTGGCCATCTGACAAAGAGCAGCTCAGTTACCACCTCCAGTGGGAAGCCTCTCCTGACCCCTCCAGCCACTTGTTAGTACCTTTCCTTTTAAAATGACTGCTCCTTTGTCTGCTTCAGTTTCCTCATCTGTAAAATGGGGATGATAACAGCACCTCCCTCTCAGATTGTTGTAAGGATAAAAAGGGATCACATGTTAAAGCACTTAGCACAGCGCCTGGCTCATAGTAAGGGCTATATAATAGCATCATTATTAGTATTTTCCTGCCGATGATGGAGGAGTCATTCTTGTGGATGTAAGGGGTGGTCTCTTGTCCTTGACTGTTTTTGGGAGCTCGAGTTCCTCTGAACCTGCTGTCTCTCCCTCCCAGATTCATTGCCACAATGCCATCATCAACCTTCTTCTCGACAACGGGGCCAACGTGAACGTGTGCACGGACGAGGGCGTCACGCCTCTGTGCATGTGCTTCATTCTCTGTTACTCAGAGGAGATGTTTAAGCCCAATATTGCCGAGAGAAACTTGGACAAGCTCACGGTGAGTCTCCTCTGAACTTTTAGGACCTTGGGTCTGGAGCTGAAAGGGACATCTTAAAGGTCATCTTAGAGGTCACTCCCCTTTTGTAGATGAGGAAACCGAGGCCCAGAGAGGTGACGTGATTGGCCCAAGGTTATATGGGGAGCGTGGGGTCAGAGGCAGAATCTGAACTCAGATCCCCTGGCTCTAGAACCAGCTGGTTCAGCGGCACCACGGGTCCCCCCACTTCTACTGCCGCCGTGAGGCCATCGTGTACCCTCACCAACTCTGGCTAGAAACACATTCTCTCTTCTGTTCGTTATTAGTAGTCAGAAAAAAGGCCTTATAAAATTTTTTCAACTTTTGTTTTATAACTTTAATACTGTAGTCCTTTGGCGGGAATATTCCCAGGAATATCAGTGGGTCCGGAAGACCCGAGTTTGACTCCCTCAGACACTCACTGGCTATATGACCTTGGGCGAGTCACTTAACCTTTCTCAGTCTTAGTTCTCTTATCTGTGAAATGGGGATAGTAGCACCTCCCTCCCAGGGTTCTTGTGAAGATAAAATGCGATGAAATTTGTAAAGCACTTTACAAACCTTAAGGCACTGTATGAATGCCAGCTGATATTGTTGTTGTTATTATTATTATTAGGATCCTAGGATTTAATGGGAAAATCACTGCCACGCGATGACTGTCTCACGCACACACACGCTATGACCGTGAAAGAGCTGGTGTGCTTGGGCAACCTCATCTCTCATAGCTGAAAAGGGGCCACCAGGTGGCGCCATAGTGCACGGAGCATTGGGCTTGGAGCCAGGAAGACTCACCTTCCTGAGTTCAAATTCAGCCTCCGACACTTACTAGCTGTGTGACCCTGGGCAAGTCACTTCACTCTGTTTGCCTCAGTTTCCTCATCTATAAAATGAGCTGGAGAAGGAAATGACAAAACACTCCAGTATCCGTGCCAAGAAAGGCCCAATTGGGGTCACAGAGAGTCAGAAAGGACTGAAAGGACTGGACAACAGCAAAAAAGTTGTAGAAGCTCCACCCAGGCGGTTAGCACCCTTGATCACTTTTTCCTCCAATGTTTTAAGCACTGTTAGGAGAGTTTCCATTTCTTACCCTGTTACGGTTGTGTGGGACAAGTGAAAGTTTCTCACGTGAAATGGAAGATATGCCCCAAAAATTTAGTTAAGGCTTTAGCATTAGCTGGCCCTAACTTTTGTTTTCCTGTAAATCATGTGATCGGGTCATACATCCCACCCCCTCCCTTGTTTTGTAACCACCACCCCAGCCTTATCTTTGCCACATAAGGTAGTCTTCTAGCTCCCAAGCTTGTTTTGGGTAAAATGAATCTCTCAGTTTCTAGGTAGAAGGTAAGGTCTCTTACCTCAACCAATGGGGATAAAGAGATTCAGGTTAAAAGGTGGGGCTTTCTTAGAATTTGTTTGTCTAGGGGCATATAACTGCTTGCTTGCTGCCTGTATCCTGCCTCCCTACTCCAGTCCGCCCTGGGTAGGTGATGCCCATTCTCGCACGAGACTTACTAGAATAAAACTTCTGTTTCTACTGAGAGAAACCTCTGAATTTTTATTTGGGTAGGTGGTCTCAATCCCACTCACAGTTAACCCATAATTAAATAATATTAATGATGATGACAATAACAATAGTAATAATGGCTAGCATATATATAGTGCTTTAAGATTTGCAAAGTGCTTACAAGTACTGTCCCATTTTATCTTCACAACAACCCTTGGAGGTTGCTGCCTTATTATCACCATTTAACAGAAGAGGAAACCAAGGCAGAGAGCTTCAGTGACTTGCCCAGGGTCACACAGCTGCTAAGTGGCTGAGGCCAGATTTGAACTCAGGTCCTCTGACTCCAGACTCAGTGCTCTAATCACCGTACTACCCAGCCTTGTGTGTGTCATACAGAATCTGAGGGGATCAGCCTTGGCTCACTGAGATAGAGTCAGAAGGGACTTTAGAAACCATCTAGCCCCTTGCCCTAATTTTATTTTATTTTTGTTTGGTTTTGGCAATTGGGGTTAAGTGACTTGCCCAGGGTCACACAGCTAGCAGGTGTCAAGTGTTTGGTCTGAGGCCGGGTTTTCTTGCCCTAATTTTAAAGATGAGTAACTGAGGGCCAGGGAGGTAAGGGGACAGACCTCAAGGCCACCTAGGCCAGTGTTCCCACCGAGGCCCAGCAAGCTGAAGTTAGACTCCTAAGATCAGAGACCAGGAGCCTCAGGAGACCTCTGAGGCCATAGGGTCCGGTGTTCCCATTTTACAGATGAAGGAGTTGAGGCCCAGAGGGAGAACAGCCAGCAGTGTCCATGGGGAGGGGCAGAGCCCCTCAGAGTGCTTCGAGACCCCTCCCCCAAGACTGATGCCATGTTAATATATAAATAGACTCGCTAAGTTATGGGAATGCATGAGAAAAAATGCGTGAGAGTGTTTGAATACCAAAGGTGATTTTTTGTTTTATAGCTAGTGGTACATTTGTCCCTTCTTTTCATTTCAAAGGAAAACATTTTTCCTTGGCAAAAGGATTTTTAATATATGCAAATGAACTTTTTTCCCCCCACTTACTGTCCTGGAATACAAGAAAAAGTAACTTTTATTAAAATACCCAGAAAAAGAGGAAATGGGCTTTAAAAGTAGCAAGAAACATTTAGGGGGTGGCTATAAAAATACTTTAAGGGTATTTTCACTAGAATGGTTTATTGATGAGATCTTTGGAGTGAGCTTTGCTGGGAGCCCTAGTAAACATAGGCTAAGAGCCTAAGAACCAGACTAGGGACCTTGAAGGCCCAGCCCCCTGATTTTCCAGATGGGGACATTGAGGCCTGGAGAGATTAAGTGACTTAAGGGTGTCAGACCTGGGGCTACAAGGAGCCCCAGTGGCCATCACTACTTAGCTAGAGAGGGAAGTCATTTAAGGATGTTAAGTTAGGAGCATAAGTCCAAAGATGGAAGGGAACTCACAGGGCCCTTCATTTTATGTGGGCGAAAAAGGAGGCCAAGACAGCAGATAGGACGTGCCCGAGGCCATGGAGGTAGTGAGTCAGTAGTTAGTCAATTTAGTCAATAAACATTTAGTATGTTAAGTGCTAGGGATGCAAAGAAAGGCAAAAATTGGCCTTTGGGAGCTTATATTGCATTGGAGAAGAAACCTCGGAAATAATTGGGTGTGTACAAGCTGCCTACCAATTAGATAGAGGTAACATTGATGGGAAAGGCCTCCTGTAGATGGTAGGGATTTGAGCTGAGCCTTGAAGAAAGCCAGATGAGGAGGGCTGGAGCATCCAGCCCTGGTGGATAGAGAGGCGCCAAGACAGGAGATTTGGTGTGCTGGGTATAGAGAAGTAGCTAATAAGCCAGAGTATCTGGCTGTCAGTGTGCATAGAATCAGGAGGAGAATGTGGGAAGCAGAACTGGCAGGAAGGGGCCAGGCTGGGAAGGGCTTTAAATGTCAAGGACAGGATTTTTAATATTTGATCATAGAGGTAATGGGCTTAGGGTTAGTGAAGCTCCCTGAGCTTGGGGATGACATAGTAACCTTATTTTTGAGAAAAATTAACTTGGCAGCTGCATCAGAGGTGAGATGACAAGGCCCTCATTGAGTTGAAATGGTTTCAGTGCATTGTTAAAAACAGGAAGGAGGAATGTTCTGCTAAGATTATTCTGTTCTTGAAATTCTCTTAAAATTGTGCTTTACTTTGGGTTTAACTGATAATAAGATGCAGACATAAAACTGCCAAATGGTCTCCCCCAAATCAAATTTCATATGATGCTTTGAAAGACTCTTTATGTCCATAAGATAACTTAATAAATTTCCACCTATTTTTTTCCTTACCTTATAGTCAGTGTTCCTTTTTGAACATTTTTAAATAGGGACTACCTTCGAGACTTATTCCATCTGCTGCTCTGTCTGAAGTGAAATCACCTGGCCCAAATCTGGAAACAGCTTCTCAATGCTCCACTGCGTTAGAAGTAAAGAAACCTTTGGAAAACGTGGCCAGTAATATGGACAAAGTTGCTTCTTCAATCTTTAAAGAGCATGCTGAGTTGAAGCAGACTATTCATAAGGATGATGAATTGGGGATGGCCTCACTTGAAAAATCATGTCCCAGAGCATCCACCAGGATGCCTGAGGAGATATGGATGAATTTTGATAGGTCCACGCAACTGAGTGCCACGACCAATTTTGAATCGAACATTGGTGTCCACAGCTATCCCATAGAGATCTCCCAGGACATTATGGAGAAGATGGCCGATGCCCACACCATGATGAGAGTTGCTTCCTTTGAAAGTGAAGACACAGATCCAGGAACTGTGAGGAAAATGGCACTGTCTGTGATAGAGTAAGTTGTAGGCAGTTGGCTTAGTGAAGGAAAGGTAGCACTTTTGATGAACCCTAAAGTCATAGGACTATATTGAGATCCTAGGTATCAGGGCTTTCAGAAACTTGTAGATGCTTGTGAACACCATGGAAATTGATTATGTCACTGTGTGCTTTGTGGGTTTTTGCATAACTTGGGTTTGCTTTTTGTACAAAGCTGGATTTCTGTAACCCGGAACCTGGAGTGGGCAGCATAAAAATAGTGGATTGACTACTAGACCAGGAGGCAGGAAATCTTGGATTCACATTCTGCCTCAGAGGCTTGCAAGTTGTATGACCTTGGGCAATCACTTCACCTCTCTGGGCCTCAGTTTCCTCAACTGGAAATTAGGAGTTTGGACCGGGTGGCCTCTGAGGTCCTGCCCAACTCTGAATCTGTGGTTCTATGATTTGCAGATGACACTAAGATAGAGGCACTGGGTCCGAATCCTCATTTGGGCTTTTTAGGAGCTGGGTGCCCTTGAGGGGGTCACATAAATTCTTTGATCCTTGGTTTTCTTTCTTGCCAAATGGGGCTGGTAATCCTCCCACACCTTACCTCACAAAGTGCTTTGGAGAAGGTTGCTTTGTAAACTTGGAAACTCAATGGAAATGTGATTTATTGCCTTGGCCACTTAGCAGTCGTCTGGCAGAGGGCCCAAGGATAATGTTACAGCAAGGCCACAGTGAATTACAAACACCTGAATGACTCACTGTTGGGAGAATTATGGATTTGGGTATCTTGTTTTATGGTGGACGTAGGAAAGATGAGAAAACATCTGGACTGGCACAGGGAAGGAGAGTCTGCTCTATGATAGATTACTATCAACAAGTCACTCAGTGACTGCGTGCTGGCTGCTGATTTCCCCCCTTCCCCCCACTTTATCCTTTTAAACATTAAATCCTTTGCCCCTACATGGGAGTATAGCCCATTCCTTATTTTATGAAGCAAGGTGTTTTCTCCTCTGATAAGCATTTAAAATATTCTTTCCTAATAATTTGTGAGATGAAAACAGGGTAAGAACTCCAAATATTGTTATTTGTTGGACTCTTTTCATCCCCAAGTCCTGCAGGCCCCTTTAGTCATCAGAGATTCAAGATTGTGTGCAGATTTTCAAAAGCTTAGGGCATTCCATGTCTTTGTGGCAATAATGGTGGTGTTTGCTGCTACATATTCAAGACATGAGAGAGAATTGTGTATGCTTGTGTTCCTCTTACTATATTTTTTATTGAGCAGGCATAACATATTTATCTCCACAAAGAAGAACCAAGGAAATGATTGTCCGTAAAACCACCATCATTATCATTATTGTTGTTGTTTTAGTCATTTTCAGTTGTGTCCAAGTCTTCGTGACCCCATTTGGGGTTTTCTTGGCAAAGATGCTACAGCGGTTTGCAATTTCCTTCTCCAGCTCATTTTCTAGATGAGGAAATGGAGGCAAACAGGGTGAAGTGACTTGCCCAGGGTCACACCGGTAGGAAGTGTCTGAGGCCAGATTTGAACTCAAGAATCAGGCGTGGCACTCTGTCCACTATGCCCTAGTTGCCCCCATCATTATTTACCACTAGCCAAGTAAATCATGCACTAACTTTAACAAGGTCCTAATAAGATAATTTCATTTGTTGATGGGCCAACTTTCGAATGTCCTTTATTTTTTTCTTTCTGGGATTTCTTGCTGTTGCCTGGGTGTATGTTGTTTTTGATTCTGCCTTCTTCGCTTTGCCTAACTTCACAAAAACCTTCTCTTTCTTGACATATTTCACTTTTGTCTCCACCCTATGTCTTTTAGGAAGCCTTTTCTGGTCCCCCTAGTGATGGAACCTGCTTCTGCAAAGTCTCTTTCCATCTACTCTGTATGTACCTTTTTATAAGCAGTTGGCTTCCTTGTTAGAATATAAGTTCCTTGAGGGTGGGGACTTTCACCCCTTTTTCTTTGTGTTCTCAGAGGCTAGTGTAGTGGGGCACAAAAGTAAGCACAATTATTGCTTGTTAATTGATTGATTAAATATCCATCTAGTGTAGCTGGTTCAGTCATTCCCCAATCAGCATAGTCATGAGTTATTTCTAGTTTTTGGCCCTTATGAATATTTTTGCACAGATAGTCCTTTTCCCCTTGCCTTAAAGAGGTGACAGTCCCACTGGATACTGCTTAGGAGGTCTAGAGGTTTAGGGATACTGGAACCCCGAAATCACACATAGGTCCTGCCCGAAAGAATTCGACCCAAATCTTCTTTCAGCCAGAGACAAAGTTTTTTTTTTGCTAGAAATAAACCATACGGGCCAGACTCTTAAGGAATCAGAACATCAGTGACACCCATAAGGACGAGCGGGCACGAGTTGGGGGCCAGGGTGAATCTTATGTATGCTCAAATAATTTTGAGTGTCCAGAGGAGGGGCTGGGAGAAAGATCTTGAAGCTGGATGAGTTTAGGGAGAATTTGATTGGAATGTCTGGGAGGTTGAATTAGACAGTGGGAATAGATAATGAAGGGAACTGGAAGGAAGAGGTTTGAATGGGGTCTGGATAAGATCAAAGGTGGGAAATATTTTCATTAGGTTTTCGAAGGGAGATGGGGAGATAAGGAAAGGCCATTGAGTGGAGTGTGGCCTCAGGTAACCGTTTGAGACCAGAGTGAGGTCAGAGACAATTTAAGGGTTTTCTGGGGCCATAGACAAATGGGACCCAAATTCTTTTGGGGGCAAGGGGCAAAGGTCTCAGCTTGGGCCCATACCCCATCACTGCCATGGTCAGACTCCACTTGGGGTCTCGTGTTATCTTCTAAAGGACATTGAGAAATTGGAGAACATCCAGAGGATGGCATCGAATATGGGGGAAGGGCCCCCAGTTCATGTCATGGGAGGACTGAGCACGTTTCACTGGAGAAGATTCAGAGAAGGTGGAGGTGGATATGTTGTGGTTGTTGCTTGGCCTTCAGTGACATCAGGAAGGGGATGTGTTGACTTGCAAATGAATCGGATAGAAGTGAGGCAGGGCTGTGCAAAGTCACCAGTCTCACTTTCTCCTCCAGAGCCTTCTGGGTCCAGTGACAAGATATAGATCAGGATGACTGGAGATGGCCCAAGATGCAGAGTGAGACCTTGGCCTTTTTAAGCTCAGGTCTTTCCCAGGTCTCAGTTTGTCTGAGGCAAGGCTCAGTGATTAAGTCTAGGTAAGAAATGAGGCAAAAGATAGCCTCTTAAAAAAAAAATCAGTCTGGGATGGGAAGACCCTCAGGGTTTCTGGCCAGAACAGAAACAATTGCTATTTACACTCATTCTGAGCCATCAAAACCCAAACTGTAACCCAGGGAGGCTTGGGCTGAGACCTATTGTTAGCCAAACAGCGACAGCCAGAGTGATTTAGGTTTAAAGGCATACTCAAGTATCTCCATTTGAATCCCAAAGGACCTTACCAAAGCCAGGTTTTTCTAGAGCTCTGTAAATGGGTGATTCCCCACACGGAAAGCGGAAAGAGGAAGGAAGGAAGGAGTGAGTTTTGTCTAACTGGATATGATAGCCTTCTTCAACATATTTGAGCAGTTGTCTTGTGGGGAAGGAATTAGACATGTTCTGTTTGGCCCCAGAGTTAAGAACTCAGAGAAGGTGATTGGGAATGGCAAAGAGGCACATTTGGGCTTGATGTCAGAAAATATTTCCCCACCATAGAGCTGTCCCAGAGTGGAATGTGCTGCTTTGGGAGGGAGCAGTCTTCCCCCTCACTGGAATCTTGAAGCAAACACTACTTCCCAGCTCTGTGGCAGAAAGGTCTATTTTGTGAGCATAGATTGGACTGAATGGGTGCTGAAGTCTGTTCCAAGACAGAAATTCTGTGATTCTGTGATATTTGAAGGCTACCATCACAACCATATCATACCTTATCTTGAGGCTTTTGCTTCTCTGTTGTCAAAGTTATCTATAATATATTTGGGTAGCAGTGTTGCTTCTATTTTTAATTCCATTGCTCTTCACCCAAGCCCACTCTACCTCTCTTCCTCCCTCTGGTCTTTCCTGACATAAGTATGTCTTTTTTTATTTAATATTTTAATTTTTCCCTAATTACATGTAAAAACAATTTTTAACATTTGTTTTTAAAATTTTGAGTTCCAAATTCTCTCCCTTCCTCCTTCTCCACCCCCCTCACTGAGAGGGCAAGGAATTTGATATAGGTTATGAGAGTTAGAAGGGCTTATGTCTCCACAGGTAGAATAATGCGGAGATTTAAAGAACAACAGCTCCAGGATGTAGTACACTGCAGGTGGGCTCGGCCGAGCCAATAAAAAGTAAGCTGATGGTTCCATGAAGACCCCAAAATCAAGAGAAGGGTCGAGCCATCTCAGACCAGTTAGGGTCAACCTGAGGACACCTGAAAATGGTAGTGCGCCTGCTTAATGAACTTCATTACTATTATCTGACACACCCCGCATAAAATTAGAGCCTCATTAACAAGTTTTGGGACGTATGACCAAGGGAGGGGGAACATACTTGAGCCTATCAAGGGGAAACATGTAAGGAAAGGTGTAACCTGGGAAGGGATGGACCAATCCCGGCCTGGGAGGTTTCCTGCCGAATTCAACTGCATAAAAGCACACTTGCCCTTGCACTTAGGGCCCACCCCTCCTGAAGAGGGGTGGAACCCACTTCTGGCCAGAAATGTCTAAATCCTCTGGACTTTCTCTGTAATAAATTTTCTTGATACTAAATTTTTGGTGTCAAGCCTATTTCCAACAGGTTATACGTGTTCAGTCACGCAAAACATATTTTCAGATTAGTCATGTTGTAAAAGAAAACATAAGCCAAAAAAACCCCCAAGAAAAATAAAGTTAAAAAAGTATGCTTCAATTTGTATTTAGACTCCATCAGTTGTTTTTCTGGGGATGGATAGCATTTTTCATAAGTTCTTCAGAGTTGTCTTAAATCATTGTGTTGCTGAGAATAGCTAAGTCATTCATAGCTGATTATTATACAATATTGCTGTTAAGTCAT